TAATAAATAATTTTTATAATACTTCAAGCGCCTATCACCCAAAGATCCAAGGCAGTTACTGGCCACTCCGTTCACTAAATAATTTTTACAATAACACAAGCGCCTATCACCTGATGGTCCGAGGCGCTTACAAGCGATTCTGATCAATAAATTATTTTTGAAATAACATAAGCGCCTATCACCTTATGAGCAAGGGCGCTTACTAGCGACTCTGTTTAATGAATAATTTTTGATAACACAAGTGCCTATCGTCTAATGACCAGAGGCGAATACTGGCCCTTCTGTTAAATAAATAATTTTTAAAATTACACATGCGCCTATCACCTGATGACCCGGGCCACTTACTGGCCCCTCAGTTTAATAAATAATTTTTAAAATAACACAAGCACCTATTACCTCATGACCCGGGGTGCTTACTGGCCCCTCTGATACATAAATAATTATTAAAATAACACAAGCGCCTATCACCTAATTAACTAGGGCGCTTACTGGCCACTCTGTTCAATAAATAAATTTTAATAACACAAGCACCTATCACCTAATGACCCAAGGCGCTTACTGGCCACTCTGTTCAATAAATAATTTTTAAAAACATAAGCGCCTATCACCCAATGATCGGGGCCGCTTACTGGCCCCTCTGTTCAGTAAATAATTTTTAATAACACGAGTGCCTATTACCCAATGACCCAAGGCGCTTACTGGCCACTCTGTTCAATAAATAATTATTGAAATAACACAAGCGCCTATCACCTAATGAACCGGGGCGCTTACTGAAAACTCCAATAAATAAATAAATATTGAAATAACAAAAGCGCCTATCACCTGATTAACTGGGGCGCTTACTAGCTACTCTGTTCAATTAATAATTTTTAATAACACAAGCNCGTCGATCACGTTCCGGCTAACGACAACATTACACACAGCAACCCGCCCGCGCCCAGCCCAGTCCTTTCAGACTCCCACGTCAACTCCAGCGCTGGACTCATGACCACCATGGAACTACTTCCGTTTTGGCCTAAACACCCTGCCACATGGTTCACGCAGGCCGAGCTCATCTTCGCGAACAACAACACCACCTCCGAAGATGTGAAGTACGCTCAGGTCGTCAAAGCGTTGGGGCCAATCATCGTCGACGGGCTGTCGGACATCCTCGCAGCACCACCAGCAGAAAACAGGTACGAAGACCTTAAGAAACACGTCCTTGCGAGGTTCTCTGACTCCAAGGACCAACAGCTGCACAAGCTGTTCTCTGGACTGTCACTGGGCAACAAGAAGCCCTCACAGCTGTACCGCGAGATGAAAAGCCTCGCTGGCAACAGCCTCACAGACGACAGCTTGAGGGTCAAGTGGCTGGACCTGCTACCTGCAGAGGCGCAACCTTTCTTGCGCATCTTTAAATCCACGTCACTCGACGAACTACTACAGGCCGCAGATGAACTCGTCTGCAACTCTTCGTTCTTGCGAACAAATCACACCTTCGCAGGTGTTT